AAAAATCATAGGAACAATAGGTGAATTTAACCTGGTACTACAAGAATCTCCTCAATTCCATCTATTATCTCCAGCAATATTTTTGCTAAAAGATAAGTCAAAAAGCTTTGGGCTTTTAGTCTAAAAGGAAGTTTTAACAATGTTATCAGATATCAGAATCAGCATGAAGTTACTGAACTTTACCAGGAAGTGCAGAGAATGACACCAAGCCACGTCAGATGAGCAACTGTACCTCTATTTAACCTTGAAGGCAGCCAGAATGTGTGAAGAAATACTTGATTCAAGGAAGCAAGTTAAAACCCAAAAAGTGTGCAGGTGTCCCATTTTAGAGTCTTTAGGGAAGAGGCTTGTGAAATGCAGATATGCTAAAAGAGGGACTGAAGCAGACAGTTCAACACACAGAAAGATATGAGCAACACAGAACCCATCAATATCATGCTTCTAAAATTAAGACTCAGTTGAGGAATCCAAAATACTTATAACAATGCAAAAATAATAATAAGGGTGCCGGCACCATTTCCTGGACATAGCTGGGAAGCTAAAGATCAGTGTGCTTACTGTTAGATAGAAAACTGTAAAAGGGTACAAGATCCTTGGTACTGATGATTGCTCCTGATTATTGAAGTGAGGACTCTTAAATGTTGAATTAATCTATCCTCCTTATTTCTAGTCCCCAGCCCTTCCAAGCTTAGATACAGATAGAGAAGCTGCAGGTTAGTGATAAAAACAAAGCTCTCTGCCCATAGAAAAAGTTATGTAATCATAGGAAGACAATTTACAGTATAGGTAAAAAGCCACAGTCATAGGAGGGATTTTCTTTATTGTCCCATGTGATCGTTTCATTAAAGAACAAGTTGATGAAATAAATCTGCAGGACACTTATCTGTAGTCTGTCAATGTTACAATCCTTTTGCTGGAATGTGTATCCAACTGTCTATGTTAACATTAATCCAGGTCAGCCTTCTGATGCAGTTAAATAATGACAACTAGTCACAAAGTGTCTATGACCAGCTGACTTAAAATTAGTCTGATCAGCCTGATTGCTTTGGCAACAGGAACATTTCTCTCCCCAGCTGTACATGCTCTTTTGGTCCACCTATGTTTTCTTCCTCAATGTATACCACTGAAGCAATGCAATAAACTGTGTTTAGGAAGTTTAGAAAATGTCAGGAAGAAACATTTTGATTAACTTGGTTCACTGTAAAGCTTATCCTTCACATGTGTAGCCATTTGTGTTTTAGTACTGCCTCCTGTACAGAAAATAGTGATAATGAGCATATGCTCCAAATACTTTGAATATCTGGAAATGTATTTGGAATGATGTCCCAACAGGAGGACATGTTATGGAAGTTTAAACAACAATCAGTGAACTCTGGGCCTGCATTCTGCACAGACATTCCCTTTGTGATAATGAGCATATGCTCCAAATACTTTGAATATCTGGAAATGTATTTGGAATGATGTCCCAACAGGAGGACATGTTATGGAAGTTTAAACAACAATCAGTGAACTCTGGGCCTGCATTCTGCACAGACATTCCCTTTGTGATAATGAGCATATGCTCCAAATACTTTGAATATCTGGAAATGTATTTGGAATGATGTCCCAACAGGAGGACATGTTATGGAAGTTTAAACAACAATCAGTGAACTCTGGGCCTGCATTCTGCACAGACATTCCCATTGCTCCTGCTCATTTTTTATCTATGCCCTCTCCTCATTCCCTCTGTGTGCATCTAAAATTACCATCATCCTGTCAGTGACAGCAAAATGGGATTTAGAATGCAGTAATA